ATGAGTAAGTAGTATGATTCTATAAGGGTGATTATGGATAGACTAACTAAGTCTACACATTTTCTACTTGTGAGGACCACCTATGAAGTGATGTAGTATGCTAGACTGTACATTGATCAAGTAGTGTGATTGCATGGAGTTCCAATCACTATAGTATTAGATAAAAGCACATAATTTACTAGTCAATGTTGGGGGAAAGTACAAGAGGCTTTGGGAACCAAGTAGAATTTTAGTATTACTTTCCACCCACTTACTAATAGACAGTCTAAGAGAACAATACAAACACCAAAGGACATGTTGAAGGCTTGTGTCATGGATTTTGGAGTCATTTAGGACTGACACTTGCCATTGATTGAGTTTGCCTGTAACAATAGTTTTTAGGCTAGTGTACAGATGGTGCCTTATGAGGCTTTATACGAATGGAGATGTAGTTTGTCCATATGTTGGTTTGAGGTCATTAAGCATAAATTATTTGGACTAGAGATAGTTCAAGATACCATTGACAAGATTTAATTGATCAAAGAGAATATATTGATGGTGTAAAGTCGCCAAAAGTCATATGTACACCATAGATGTCAAGAGTTGGAATTTGAGGTTAGTGACCATATGTTTTTAAGGGTCTCGCCAACTAAAGGCATCATGAGGTTTGGCAAGAAGAACAAGTTAAGAAACATACCCTTTGCAATTTCCAACATGACTTATCATGGCAATGCTAACAAGTTTAACATGTCCTCATGAAGACTTAGGGAGTGACCTAATGAGAACTAAGACTTACTGTTTATTTGTGAAATCATAGCTAGCTACTTTCATCTCTCTTATTATAGCTGGCATGGCCCTTGGGTGCTTAGTCACAATGTGCTAGGAGTTCATCACATATTAATTGAACTTAAGTGTCAAGGCACAAAGCCTCATAATTGTGGTTCCACCATACTTGAATTTCAATTGTTCCCACAATTGTTACTCCCTAGTGAGATCATCATGCATGTAGCTTAAGATGGAAAAGTGTGCATTACAGTCTCTCTTATACCAAGTGTCATAAGCCTCTTAATCACGACGATGTTGAATAGTGTTTTCAACTTCAGGTGGGTTCATCTATTTGGTCAGATGATTGAGCAACTCTTACTCATTAAGAAGATACTGAAACTTCTTATACTTGTTATCATAATTTTTTTCATCAAGTTTGGCACCTTTGGTCAAATCAACAATATTTTATTTTGAAGCCATATCATTACATCATTGCTTAAGATTTAATTAGGCACGTGTTTAATTTTCTAATCAATTAAAATTAGACAAATTTAATTTTTACCTATATTGCTAGTTCAAAACTTTCGCATGCATGCTAGTAATCATTGCCAATAATATTAGCATTGATTAAAATGTCTAATCTAATTTAAGTTTAGATTATGGGAATAACTCCCACTATCCTTAAGCATGGGAACAACTCCCACTTACCACATATATAATGAGTTCTACTAAAGAACCCTATTGATATTTATAAATGTCCATATCTAAAATAATATTATGCGCATAGTAAGCGTGAAATTACATCCTTTTACGTGGCCTCAATAAATAATTAATACAAACTTAAAATAAATTACATCATAGACAACCTACTACATTAATCTACAAAAATAGAGATGTCGTGCTTGCTCATGTGTATTTATTATTTTGGAAGATTAAAATCTTCCATATAAATGTTATGCACACAAAAATAGCACTAAATGGATCATAATTTTGAAATGCTTCCAATAAATACTATAATAGTCTTCTCAACAAAGCACCCCACTTTTGCAGTAATTTTTAGAAAAGATTGAAGGAGTCATAAATGGTCTCTCTTAAAACCTAGTCTCATTTGACAAAATTATTAAGACATATAACTACCGTACTATCTCTTTGCATATAATTTTACTTAACAAATAAGTAAAATATTGCAATCATACAAAATATACTCATATGGCATAAAGCATTTTACAACATATGTAAAATAATTGATTTAATAAACATTTGCTAAATTCACTTAAACCGTGTATGTATTTTAGATGAAAAATAATTTCTAATATACAACATATAAGCAAAAAAAAGTGGTTAATTAACAAATTAATTAACTATATTTATAATGCATGTGAATTTAATAAAATATTAGCGTGTTGAAAACATAAATAATATTCTGGAATTTTTTTGTCAAATTGTAATTAGCAAAAAATTTTGAGATCATTTTGTAAAAATAGAAACTTGTGGGGTAAAAATATAATTTGAAAAAAATATATCCATTGGCACCATGTGGCTGCCACATCAAGCCCTTTATGGCTATGTTCGGACTCTTTTAGTCTTTAATATCTGCCGCACTATTATCTTAGGGATAATTCCTTGGTGTAGTGGTTGAAAAGTACTTTTTGAAAGTCTCAATGACTTTGTTAGTACAGGTTCAAATCTTGCTAGTTGCATTTTCTTTCCCTATTACCAACAATGGACTTGTTAGAAAGCTAATAAAAAATAAAACATATCTATTGTAGATTTATACATAATAAATCATATATTGGTAATTTAAATTAAATAAAATCATAACCTTTTTAAATGAATATTCCTTTTCATTTCTGATTGAAGAAGCTTGCCTTACCTATTCTCCTTCATGCACACAACAATCTATTTGTTTTTATTGTTATAAAGCGGCTATTAGAGTACTCCATAAGGAATATCTTTTGACCTTGATAGTGCCTTAAGAATGACGAGAAAAAGAAAAAAAAAGTTTTTTTTTTATTTTTTTGAATTACAAAATAACTTATGTTCACTCTTGGTTGTGTGAAAAAATCATTATGTCTATTCACTATTTATAGATGTATTAGAGATATAGAGATAGGATATTTCTTTTAAATTTAAACAAATTAAATTTAAATATAATAGATCATTACATAGATAATCATTACAAATTAAATTTAAATCTATATTCTATCCTAAACGTTTTCAATTATTCAATTAAGAAATATAATAATAATAAAAAATATTAATTAATTAAATATTTATTAATTATTTATAAATAATTAACAAAGTTGCATACCATGTGGACACACCACATTTAACTGCAACATTAACAAAAACATAACAAAATAACTTCATACCGAAAGTCTAATAAGCTAGTTTCTCCCAAAGATTTCTTCTCTTAGTGCAATTTAATTTGTGAAATTTGTCAAGTTGGTAAAAACAAATGTTTCTTATAATGTTATTTGTTTTAAGAATTTTAAAAATATGGTTGAAAATCAATACTGCAATAAGATTAAAATTTTCCAATGTGATGGTATTAAGGAGTTTGTTAAAGGTATTTTTACACAATTATTCAACACTTATGATATATCACTTCGCAATGGAGGGAAAGAGGTCTAGTAAGAGCCATATCTTCAAAAATTAAAAATTTTTATAATGCAATTTGGATTTTTTTTTAATTTTTAAATTTTATCTTTATAAATATTAAATTTTTAATATGAGTATTTTATAAATATTATCTTTACTTATAAACACAAAATCTTGACTTTGTTATTATCATTTCGTATTTCATGCCCACATGATGGTAAATAAAATGATTTTGTTGAGAAAAAATAGAAACATATTCAGGGGATGAGTCTCAGAATGTTACTTCAAGCATGTTTTCCTCCGTCACTTTAGCACGTGGCACTTTCCATAGCAGCCCATGTATGATTAAAAGAAATTGGAGCGAGTTTGCGAGGAAGACAGAAGAATCCAAACGTAAGTAAGGTGACAAAGCAAGAATTAACGGCAGTCTTAAACAGAGGAAAAAGTTGCATACACTAATGATGGAAAGTAGAACAAGAAAAAGGGTGACATCATCACTAGCCAAACTTTGACAAGTGACAAGTGATCTGAATCGAACTTCATTGGTTCGTGGACATCAATTCCCGACAAAGCGCGTGAAAAAACCATGCTGATGTATTAACAATCATGCATCTCTATTTAAGACTTTTATAACATAAAAAAGAAAAATCAAACACCAATTGAAGCGCAGCCAAATCTAGAGGAAAGACAGACAGCTCTTTCCATCCTCGTTGCAATTTTGGCCTCACCACTTACTTGGCAAAGCCAAACTGGTAAGTGTTGAGGCAGTTTGATTGGATTCCAACCATATAAACAATTTTATGTTCACATCTATGTTCCAAGTTACGACCAAATTTTCAATGCCTTTAACTCCTCCCAAGGTCTATGCTCTGTCGTAAACTTTGCCAGACCAGACCAGAATCCTTTGGTCTGCTCAACTGCAAGAAAAATAGTCTTATATAATCTCTGGTATGCTTTGTTGTCCATCTTCTTCTCCTATTTTTGTATGTTTGTGTTGCTGGTGATATATATATATATATACATATATATATATATTTTGGTTGTGTTGGTCTGGATAAGAATGGATCTGTGTAATCTCCGGGACTTAGCATTTCTGGGTTCAGTTTTAAGTGTTTTTTTTTTTTGGTTTTTTGCATGTTTTAGCTTTGACTCTTGGTGGGGTTTCTTTTCTTTCTGAGTTGTCTTGGGCAATTTGGATTTCAAAGGCTTATTTAAAAGTGGTTTGGCTATGTCAAATGCTCAATAAAATAGGAGTATATGTTTGGTATTCCTTTCTTTTCTGAGTTCTTATGCTACCTCAACTGCATTGGTATTTGAATCATCTCTTTCAAGGATAATATTAGCCCTTTTCTGTTAATGTTTTTATGGTGATAATTTCGATTACGTTATCGCCTTCGGTGTCTTATCACATCGAGAGTGGTAGTTGCTGGTTAGAGAAGTTTTTATGGAAAGAGTGGAGTGCTACTTATGAATTTCAATTGCTTGCCCAATTATCGAAAATTAGCGATACAAGATTTCTTTTTTCTATGGGGGCTGTCTAATTGGATTTAAGCATATAAACAACCTTGTAAGCAGGGTGCTTTGACAATTGACCAGAAGAACCCTTGTTGCAATCTGGAGCATTGAAACAGAAGGTGCTTTACAATTTTAACTTTTCTATTTATAACGGCTTAGGTACCCATAACCTTTTTCTTGCAATTCACAGAACTTCACAGGGTACCTCTTTTTATGTTTATAAGTTTGTGATTATGGTGTGTTAGACTGATATTAGATGGCAGTGTTTTTCTAGCCTTTTGGCCTTTGAGGTTTTGTAAAAGCTATGGTTTTTATGCCAAATTTTCTACTCAAATGTTTGGCCTGTTGGGCACTTGGAGACATGAGATTCCTATCCTCCTATATCTGACACTTTCCTGGACTTTTCTCTTAGGATTTTGTTTTACCTACTTAAGGAATTCATACAATTAAGCTTTATCGACTGAAGAAACTTTTGCAGTTTGGAGGTGCTCGAATTTGAAAATTATGCATGATTGACATTTTCCTGCTTTCTTTGACACATGTTGTCATTCAACATGCAAATAAATAGCAAAGTGCTGTTAACTGTATATGTTGGATGTTATGTTATTAGAAATTAGATCGCTTAATAGCCTTATCTGCATGTCTGACACCTTGTATCTGTAGTGAAACATAACACTTGTTTCCTAGTTCACAAATCATGGCATCCAAGTAGTAGTTGCCTGCTTATCTCCATCAGCACAGCAATTTTGATTATCGAAGTAGGTGATATTTGTTTTGATAGCATTCAATAAAACTTTTTGGCGAATTTGCTCTGGTACATAGTGACAGCAAAGGATTAAAAAACTATCATGCAGATGATATTAAAGAGAAGGTTGACTTTTTTATGTCGACGCCTGGAATCTCACCACAAGGGTTCCAAAATATTGCTGCTGTAGTCATTAGAAAAATTCTCCAATGGCTTATAAAATATAGTATATTCCTCAACTATGTCTCTATGTTGTAACTTTTGTGTTTGAACTCAGTATGACTTGTTTAAGCAACTAGTATCAGGAAGAGAAATCATATTTACACTGAAAATGCAAAATGCTTTTACGCAGCATTCAGAGTATCAACAATTTCAAAACTTACTGTTGGTGAAATTTCAGATTTAACACTGTATTAGTATTTAATTGCTTATAAATCCTTTATTGTGCACTTTCAGTTGAATTTGGAGATTTACTTTTTAGGATTCGGGGTCTGTTAGCTACAGTTTGTGGTTTAGGAAACTTAATTTTTAGATCTCATAGCTTCACAATATGTAAAAACAAAAGAAGGATTCTAAGACAGATGAGGCTGTGGATTTTGCCATTTAAAAATATTGGAGAAGATTGTGATGCTATTTTGGGAATCAATAAGCTTACAGTATTATTTTGGAACTTGGGGTTGGTAAGGCATTTTTAGAGGTTTGAGGAATTAAAGTTTAGTACTAGCGGAACGCTGTAAAGATTTTTTGAAAAATTTTAGTTTTGCTACTAGCAAAAACTCTATTAAGGGCTCTGTGAAGGCAGCTTTTGATTTGTTATGGAAGTGCTGGCGACTGAGGTTTTTTGCAGACCTGGGTAGCAGTGCAGCAGATGATGGAGGCATTTACCTTCTGTTGTGTATCCTATGTTTCTTCAACATACGATCATATCTCAAACTGAGGAATTTCACTCTTGTGACTGTCAAAAGTAAGGATTGGGAGGTCCCATTTTTTTTGCAACCACATCTCTTTTCTCAATTTCATAGCATGTTTCTGCTGAGCATTTAAATAATGCCTTCAGATTGCATTGCTGTTTGTCCTAGCAGCGTTAGATATTGTTATTAATCAATTGTAGACAGTTATATGACCAAAAGAAAAAATGATAGACAGCTGTATAGAAAGAACCTCTCTTTTTGATTTTCCCTTTAGAAGGAGTTTTTCTACTGGTATGTGGGCCTTGGTTTACTCAAGGGAAGATAGCCTTCTTCCATCCCATGAACTGCACCCTCCTATTGAACATACGACCTCAAAGTTTTAACCTTTGGAGTGCTCCCTTGGGGACCCTTCAGAACAAAATTATTTTGTCAAGGTAGTGGAATTTCTGTAGCTTCCTGGTTATGGCAAGTAAATACTATTCTAAAGTATGTAACTGAAAAGATTTACTGTGTGAGTACTAAATTCCTATAGTGTGTCTTTCTAGTTCTGAGATGGATCATATTTTGGGACTTATGATATTTTGAAGAAGTTGCATCTCATGTGAGAATGAATTAATACTAATTGGTTCTATTACTCTGTCAGGTATGAAAGTGAAAACCTCTGTTCATTGCAAAGGTGCTGAAATCTCTATGAGGCTCTTAGCTTATTAAACTTAACTTTTTCATAATAAGTTTACAACTGATGTCACCCAGATCATGCATTTTAATGCTTCTTAGCTTTTTCTGGAACTATCTTTGTTCCTGGTTATGGCATGGAAACATATAGCGATCAGCCAAGACATCTAATACTTTTACTTCTTATGATGTGAGCTGTTGCACGCATTTAAAACTAATCATTTGAAATTTTTTTCAATATGGTTAATTGGATTTCATTTGTATAAGATTTTTGTTTTCTTACAATAAACCCAATGCTGTTATGCTGATTGCTTAACTTCTATTCTGTTTGACAGGCCCTTTCGTGGGAAGGCATTGTTTATTTATGTTGTCTTAAAATGACAATGGATTGGATTTTATAGTTCCTTTATCCTCAAAGTCAGTGGATTGATTTAATGCTTATTTTCTTCCCATTTTCAGCTGATCAGCAACACTGCTTCAGGTTTTAAGAGTTGATTATTTGAAGAATGTAACCTTTTTTGGTGATAACAGACTGCAGTCCTTGCATAGACCTGCAGACTGTATTCACATATTCTGGCAGACACTTATTTTAGTGGAGGTTTAATCTTGAAGCAGCCTTGAGGTTCAATCACTGCAATGCCATTCAGGATCTGTGGTTCTCATTCTTGACTTCTAAAATATTTTGGTATTTGTCAATTTGATAGCTGGATGAAGGTTGGGATGTCATCCAAGACAATGAATCACCCTAGCTATATATCTGTAACACAAGGTGAGCCTAGCAAGGGAATTGGAGAGTCATATCATACTGCTGCTTCCCCAATTCATAATTTTCTAAGTATCGGATCAGAAGGTCAATCTTCATTGGCTGGTGAATGTTCATCTCCACATCCATTTCCTTTTATACGAACAGAATCATTTAAGAATAATCTAAAATCTGCGCCAAGTAGCCGCATTTCTCCAGGTTCGCATGCTAAGAGTGCATTTTCACGTTCTTCTGTGTTCTGTACCAGTTTATATTTGTCATCTTCATCTACATCTGAAACCCAACGACAGCTTGGAAATTTGCCATTTCTTCCACATCCTCCTACATGCAGCCAGTCCATATCCGCTGTTGATTCATCAAAATCTCCGGTGGTGTTTAGTGAGGATTTGCGCAATCCATATAATGAAGACCACTCAGAAATTATTATGAAGGACTTCCTTAATTTTCCTGGAGATGATTGTGATGGTAACTTTCATGGTTTGCATTGTGAAAGTGATAATTTCACCCTTACCGAACAATTAGAGCTACAATTTTTGTCTGATGAACTGGACATAGCTATCGCTGACCATGGAGAAAATCCCAGACTTGACGTAAGTATGTTGCAGCTATCAATGATTCTTGATAATATCTAACTGTTGATACTGATTTTATTTAAGGTTGAGTGAGATATGTTTTTTCATTAAAAGACATTTTGAAGTGAAACCTGAAACAGAAAACAAAAAGGGACAGTTTGCACTTGTTCTTATCCTTTTCTTGCTTTAAATACTGATACCCATATAGGAAATATATGAAACACCTCAAAAGCTGAATGTAGCATTGACATGCAATCAAAATTCTGCTTCTGTGGCACCATCTATTGATGCTCCCGCAAGTATTCAACTGTCTGGGCCAGCAGCTGTTCCCAAACTGAGAATGAGATGGACTCCGGAGCTCCATGAGTGTTTTGTTGAGGCTGTAGGCAAGCTTGATGGGCCTGAAAGTAAGTAGGTTATGTTGCCCATTCTAAAGATAAACATGTCTTAGGGTTTTTTATGTTATTAATTTAAGGAGTTTCGTTTGTATTCCTGTATGAAATTGCGATTTTTTTCCTATCAATTTAGTATATTATGAATAATCTGAAATATGTTGCCATAATTAGAACTCACTATTTTAATACATGATGCAGAGGCAACTCCAAAGGGTGTATTAAAGCTTATGAATGTTGAAGGCTTGACTATCTACCATGTGAAGAGCCACTTACAGGTACTTAAGTAATTCTATAAGGTGAATGAAGAATATATTCTGAGTTAGTTACTTCTGATATTGATCCTTTTTTCCTGATTATCTACCATTTACCTTTACAGAAGTATCGACTTGCCAAATATATGCCAGAGAAGAAAGAAGGTAATGGGTTCATTATCAAAAATAGCTTGTCCTTATGGCTATTGTTATCATCCAATTTTCCTGTAAAACCAATATTTAAGTTAGTTTTTATATATCATCTATTCAGTTTTGTCAACTTTATGCTTTTGTGCACAATTAAAATTTATTTTGCAGAGAAACATTGTTGACTACTGGCAATATTTTCACTATTCTATTTTGCAACTGCTAGACATATTTTTTAAAATAGAAATATTTACTACCATATTTCTTTGTAGTAAGCATGTTTCACAAAAAATTTGACATGTTTTTGCCCCTTCGGACTTTCAGAGAAGAAGACTTCCAGCTCTGAAGAAAAGAAAGCAGCTTTAAGTAGCAATGAGAGTGATGGAAAGAAAAAAGGGTAGCTGTTGTTTTCTTTTCTTTAAAGCAACTCTACTTTCTCATTTTCTCTTCTAAGACACTAGGTTAAATGCTGTTTCACCTTTTTTTGTCCTAGGGGTACGCATATCACTGAAGCTCTGCGCATGCAGATGGAAGTACAGAAACAATTACATGAACAGCTTGAGGTATTATGTTTGCATAGCCAGGATATTGAAATTGACTATTATGAAACACACCTATTATTATCAAATTTGTCATGCTTACTTTGTCTCTCGATTTGGTAAATCAGTTTCCCCACCAGTAGTTATTCTTAATATAGTGTTGTTATTGTTGGAAATTGGTCTTGCTTGCTCACTCAGATGAATTATGGATGTCTTTATCATCTCTTCTAGGAGATTGTCTCAGTTTACGGATGCATCTGACACCAATGGCATATCATTCATTTATGTTAGCTGTGTCTTCATTTTCTTTTCTATTAGTCCTTGTCCTTGTTCAGTACTCCTTGTGTCCCTCTGAAAAGCTGAATAATATAAGAACAAAGCCCGAACTAGAATTGGATGGTATAACTTCATAATTATAAGCTGATACAATAATTGGTCCATTATGTGCTTTTCTGATTGATTTTAACTTGCTCTGATTGATTACAGCTACAAAGGTCACTTCAGTTACGCATAGAGGAACATGCAAGGTATTTGCAGAAGATCTTGGAGGAACAACAGAAAGCTGGCAGTGCCTTAATTCCTTCACTAAGCTTGTCAACACCGACTGATCCAAGCCAAAACTCAGAATTGCAACCTTCTTCATCTGCTATTGCTTCACCTTCCCAACCTTCCGAGTCTAAAACCGAGTTATCATCATCTCTGCCATCAAAGCATAAAGCTCCTGAAGTCAATGATTGTGAACCTGAATCAAGTCCCAAAAAGCTTCGCATCGAGAACAAGCCAGAGTCAGCTGCAGATGAAGCCGTAGTAGAGAATCCTGTGCAATAACAGCTTCACTCAATTCAACTCTTAGTTTTCCTTCAATGCATCAGCTTCTGTATCACCCCAGCTTTTGTAGATTCATTAATCCAGTGTAAAATAGTCATTGAATTTAGATTTGCTTCATCTGTGTCTATGACATTTGTGAAATTTGGACAATTGGGAAGAAGAAAGACAGCTCTTTCCATCTGTGAACTTCAGAAGCAAAATATTTGTGGGTCAAGCTATTGAATTGGTTTTTGATAATGAATCAGCTTTAGTTCTTTCTGTAATTTTCTTCTAAATAAATGTGCTTTAATTCCAGTTCTTTTGATTTCTACCAATTACTGCACAAGTCACAATAACCTTTCAATTACTTTGTAAAAATAAAATAAAATAAAATGGAAAAAGAAAGTCCAGAAATGTTAAGAATGCTGAGCAAGGGAACAACAGAACCCTAAATAAATATTTATTAGGATAAAATTTTCTTACATTCTTTGTTCAATTCTTTTCACATGACATCCCGAGCTTTCTTTCTCTTGATAAGCATCTTATGAACATCTTTCTTCTCAATTAGTATCCTATGATAACCTCTGTTTTCACAGAATTAAACTGTTAATTTGGTTTCGTAAATATTATAAAAATATCATTAAACGTGAATAAAGAAGTCAACTTTGAGTTAAAGAGTATTCTAAAAATTTTAGTAGATAAAATTAATAATCTAATTTCTTGTCGAAATAGAAATTATCCGTAAGATGTTAATTGAAAAAAACAAATATAGATATCATATGAGAAAAATTGAAACTACATAAAATATAGTCACAGAATTTTTTTTAATACAAGAGGGTGTATTGTGGCTGGAATTGAATATACCCTTTGATTTTTATTTTTTTTTAAGTATGCATTGTTATTACCAAGAACCAAAGCCTAAATTAACTTTGGACTTGATGATTACATATAGAAACTCAAACAAATAACCCCCAATAGCAAGGTACCTGGAGTTGGAGATGTCCAGATACTTCAACTTCTTCCCGATTACTGCTGACGATGCTGCAGTCCCAATTTTACTTGTCTGTACACATTATTCTGAAAAGAAGTGTCTCAGGTGCCACATTCTCCACGTAACCAGACTTCTCTATACACATTGTTCTATAAAAAGAGGAACTGACCCAGGTCAGGTGCCACATTCTCTTTTGTTCACCTTTGATTCATAAATTCATTTGTGTATAACTCATGTGATTGGCAAATAATAAAAACACTACTCTGATGGCTTGTAATTCTGCAAAATTCAAGTCCCCTACACTACTTGACTTCGAGAAAATAATCTTAGTTAAACCACCATAATCACGTAAAATGCCACCAAGTTGGCTCTTACCCATACTGCAACATGCAATTTAATGAGGCCATACAATTTTAAAACATCCCACACCTTTCCACTAAGAACAATCTCATTACGAAATATAGCCACATTGACCATCTAATTACATAAAATGCAAGCAACCGAACTCTTTGTCGATCACCACATTCTAAACTTTCCAAGACTCACAACATGTAGAGAATGGATGTCGTATAGTTTATATCATCTACTTACGCAACATATAAAGGATCTTTTCCTCACCAATTAATCCTCTTTTCGAAAGCTTCGTCTTAATAGCTATCTTTTCCCACATTAGTTACCATACAAATACCTTAATTTTGTAAAGAGGAAAGCCCAACCAAATTTTCTTGCACAACTCACTATTTTCGCGATGAGAGTTTAATGCAAGTTTGCAAAAAGATAGAGGAATACTTATCAGTAGATGTAGCTTTCCAAATTACCCCACCTTGCATATCTTCACTCAAGGTATATTCTCGAAGATGACTCCACAATCTTGTCCAATGCTGAAATTTCCAAACAAATAACTGTCTTCATAACTCGATGTTCCATTCCCATCTATAATTAATCCATTCCCCATATTTGCATAGCCATCCATCTTTATTTACTGCCAAGGCGAATAATCGTGGGAACTCCCTTTGCAGAATCATGCCCTTTAACCATGCATCATGCCAGAACGATATTGATTTCCCACCACTTAGAATAACTCCCATGTTATTGTTAGCTGATACCTGAAAAATGAACTTATCGATAGGAATAAAATGGAGATATGATATTTTTCCTAGTGTTTGAACATTTACGAGTGACAGTAGCTTTAGGTAACAAGGCACACAGATTGTAGTCATTCTTTGCTATCACGATTTCTCTCCGTCGGTTTCTCCGTTTGTTCCCTAACCTCCACAACCATTTAATAAGCAAAGCCTTACTCCTAATTTCAAGATCGATTAATCTAAGCCCTCCCATTTCTTTGTAGTCACAAACATTGTCTCATTTAACATAATGAACTCGACCATTCTGATTATTATCAATCCCATTTCTGGGACTTGATTGGTACAAGAACGTACGTGGATAAGGCCCACTAGGCCTAAGAAAGCTTATCAATCAACACGTGTGGGCTTGTCATTCACCACATTCATACAAATAATCATTCAATACACGCATAAATATCATTACATAGTATGAAACTTCTCAAAAGTGTGGCATTTCATTGTTTAATCAAAACTATAGTATAACATATAGTTTTTGTGGTCCAACATGAATCACATATCGTTATCATATATGGTCCTTTCAATAGGTATCATCATCTATACGCACCTTTTTTTGTGTTCAATAGAATAATCCATAATCATAAAGTAAACATGAGTATCTCAATACTAATTGATAATACCAAATATCAACATTTAATACAAACTATATAAGACTCGACTCAACACAATACGGATTGTAACGACACTAGAAGGCTAGAAGGAAGGCATTATCACACCTATCAAAGAAAATTAAGCTACTCCTCCACAAGGAGTCAATCCAAGTGAGCTGCTAATCTGTAAAAATAAGGAAAACTAACGAGTGATTCACAAAGACTCTATGAGTAGATGCAAGAATGCAACAAGCTAAGGGAAACAGTTTTTGCAAAAACCCGTGATAAGATCATTTTAAAACATTCACTAACATCATTCAAACCATTTCCCATAAATGCAATTGAGATCCATGATACATAAACGATTTGATAAAACAATTTAACTCCAAGTACAAAATATTTGCAAGGAGAAAAACAAGAGAGTTCACATAACGAACACCGGTACCTTCACCTTAGGCAACGATATTAATCTTCACACAACCTTCGAGCATTATCTCTCATATTGAGATCTAAAAGTACCATTCAAGTCTTCATACTCACTAGTTCTATAATATTCATTCAACACATGAACACATAACTTGAACAATCAAACACATCTTCATTTCATACAAGTACAATATCATTGAACTCACTTTTATATATATATATATATATATATATATATATCACAATATCAAATTGTTGGCGAAAAAAAGGGTAACCTCACATTGTTGACTATATTGGGAGATGGGTATGTTTTCCTAACTCATGATTATAAGGGTTTGTGGTATTCTTACCTCTACATTTGGCTATGATAATGTGTGGTATTCTCACCCTCACCCTAGCTAGGATAACGTGTGGTATTTTCACCCCATGTTTGACTAGAACAATGTGGGTATTCTTATCCCCATATCTAGTTATATTTATATGATATTCTTAGCCCCGCATCTAGTTATATTCATGTGGTATTCTTACCCCCACATATGGTTATACAAAATTCATACTTTTATAACACAATAGTAGTTCACAATTCATCTCAAAATAAAACGAGTACCTTACTTTACATTACATTTTATCATTCGTTTCATGTACTTACTAATGGGCTTCTATACATCCACACATACAATCCTCAAATCATAGAGACTTATTCATCCACTTTAGCATTCTATATTAGTCGGCATTCTATCATTCACGTTCACCTTCTCATAGAGATGACTCTAATAATCCACACTAGCACATACATCTTGGTAGGCTTTCTAACATTTCATAATCAAATATTTGGGTGGGTGTCTATTCATCCACCTAGGCATGTATTTAGACACGCGCCAATCGTGCCTTATTTATCCATCCTAGGAGATTTTGAACGAAACTATTTGAAAGGGCTTGTCTCCCTTGTTGAAAACTAATATGTAGTAAATATAGTAGAGATATTTACTTACACAAGGGTTCGAAAAACTTCATCGAAAACATTTGTGCTTAAGTATATACATTTATCGATATTAAAATACCATTCAAATCATGCAAGTCAACGAAGTGATAAATCATGCTAAGCTATACAATATAAAATATTATAAAGAGGTGTACTCACTCACCTTGACAAGAAGCATATTCTTTCCTAAGCTTCGAGTTGCCAAAACCTTGCTTGTCTATAATCTCGAGCTCTATCAATCACCTAGCACAACAAATACCATAAGTCTCCTAGTTTTCGGCGAAAGCCTTCATTTTAAATATCCTTCATTTTAATTCCAACAAGCCTTCAAACTTCAATCTAAAATTATTTATTAAAAGACCTTAAGTATCTTGACCTCCACAACATTTTTGAAGAGTAAAAACCCCTAAAATCTTCAGCTCCAAAAAGGATTAATAAGTTGAAATTTGTAGAAAAGGGTGTTAGGTTAAACCCATAAGCCCTAAAACTTAAAAATAGTGAATCCCACCTTAGATTCGAGTTTGGAAGTTTGAATCCTTGCTAAATGGGGTCTTTGATGGTTGTAGGAGGGTTTGGGGGCTATTGGAAAGTGAATGGAGGCTAAAGGATGAAAAATAAGAAGTAGGGCTCAAGTTAGGGCTTATATTTTTTCCATACTAGACCCTAAGGATTGCCTTTTAAATCCCAGGAGTTGATCTTTGGGCATATTTTTTCTTCCTATGTCAATAGAGATAAACCCTTTACCTTTCAGGGGGTCGATCTTTTTGATTTCCTATAGTTATTGTTAGGTTCTAACTTATAGGGATCAACCGTTCAACCCTTGAGAGTCAATTCTTGTGTTTTCAAAAACTTTTTCCAAGACTTTTATTGTGCAAGGAACGACCCTCCCTTCCTCAAGAATCAATCCTTGATAATTCCAAAACCTAACTAAGGCTCAAATACTTCTAGGGGTCAACCCTTCATGCTTTAATTTACAAAAACATATTCCTTTGGTTTCCTTTTATTGCCATTCTTTCAACCAACAATCATCTATACATATACACCACTATTTTTATAAAGAATCATAATCAAATAATTGGGAAAAATTCAATAAAAAATGAATACTTAAAAATCAAGTATAGCTCATCAATACTCAAAATCACCAAACTCCACA